CTTTTTCATTACCTTAGTCCAAGATACTATTATCTCTCATCTCACTATTACAATAGCCTCCTAACTGGTTTCCCTGCTTCCCTAACCCTAACCGTAATCTTTTCATGCAATAGTTCAAAGTCATCATTTAAAAACATCAGATCTAGTGGTAACTTTGGTGAAGCGTAAGACAGTACACAATACTGGGGAAGTCAGCACAGCTTGACCAGGGCAAAGTCATAGAAGCTTAACAGACACATCCAAGTGCCCTACGGGACCAAGCTGCGGGGCTGAGGAGACCATTGTCTCGGGGAACATCTAGCTCAACTGGCATAACATAATCTATAAAGAAAATGTTCTACACCTGACTGTGGTGAGTAGCGTGTGAGGTCTTAAAAGCCTGTGAGCGGCTGTCTAACATACATCTACTGGTCCCATCCCTGCTGGAGCAAAGGAGTTTGGTGTTTGTTAATCTATTTCTATTCTGTGTACTTTCTTTTAATTTAAAAATTTCTCAAAATGTGTATTTTTAATGATCAAAAAAAAAAAAATCCCTGAGGCACCAAGTTACCGGGTGGAGGGCTGTGGGGACCATGGTCTCGGGAGCATCTAGCTCAATTGGCATAATATAGTTTATAAAGAAAATGTTCTACATTCTACTTTGGTGAGTAGCGTCTGGGATCTTAAAAGCTTGTGAGCAGCCATCTTAGATAATCCACTGTCTCACCCCATCTGGAGCAAGGGAGAATGAAGAAAACCAAAGACACAAGGGAAAGATTAGTCCAAAGGACTAATGGACCACAACTGCCACAACCTCTATCAGACTGAGTCCAGAACAACTAGATGGTGCCCCGTTACCACCACCGACTACTCTGGCAGGGATCACAACAGAGGGTCCTAGACAGAGTGGGAGAAAAATGTAGAACAAAATTCAAATTCACAACAGAACAAAACAGGCTTGCTGTTCTGACAGAGACTGGAGAAATCCTGAGAGTATGGTCCCTGGACACCCTTTTAGCTTAGTACTGAAGTCACTCCTGAGGTTCACCCTTCAGCCAAAGATTAGACAGGTGTATAGAGCCAACAATAAAACACGTGAGGAACGTGCTTCATAGTTCAATCATGTATACGAGGCTACTGGGCACACCAGCCCAAAAGCAAAGATGAGAAGGCAGGAAGGGATAGGAAAACTGGATGAATGGAAATGGGGAAACCAGGGTAGAGAAGGGGAGTGTTGACACATTGAGGGGTTGGCAACTGTCTTAGGCTGAGTTCTCTTAAAGAAGCAAAACCAGTAAAGCATATAAATATAGGGAGATTTATATCAAGGAAATGGGTCATGTGACTGTAGAGGCTGGAATGTCCTGAGTCCGTGGATCAGGATAGAGGCTTCTCTCAATTCACGTAGCTGCCGGGGCTGGCAAACCCAAGATCGGCAAGTTGGAGAGCAGGGCTCATGCTCATAGGCTGTGAAGATCGACGAATCCTAATATCTGCAGATAAGCTGATAGCTCAAGTCACAAGAACTTGAGGTTACACGAACAGGAGGCAGCCACAGGATCCAGAGTGAGCAAAAAAGCCAGAACGTCTGCTTATATTCAGATGCAGGCCACACCCCCAAGGAAACTCCCTTTCGACTGATTGTCTACTCACAGCAGATTCCAGACTCATCTGGGAGATAAAACAAGAGAGAAGTGAGCAGAGAGAGATACCTCTACCACTAAGAAAGAAGAGCCAGGAAAGGAGCAAGTCCTTTGGACCCAGAGTCCCTGAGCTGAGAACCTCCTAGACCTGGGGGAAGATTGATGCAAAGACACATGGAGATATCCAAGGAACGCCAGGCCCACAGATGTTGAAAGGAGACAAGGATCTTCCTCCAAAGCTGAGAGAGAGAAAGCCTTCCCCTGGAGCTGGTGCCCTGAGTTTGGACTTCCAGTCTCCTAAACTGTGAGAGAATAAATTTCTGTTTGTTAAAGCCATCTGCTTGTGGCATTTCTGTTATAGCAGCACAACATAACTAGAGCAGTCCTTAAATGGTTTGCTAACTAAAACACTGAGAGGTTACAGTTATCTTGTCATACCATTAGGAATAACAGCCAACTTCGTGCATATATAGCCAATAACTATGTCATGACTGCCTCCTGACCAACAGTGATTGTAAGACACATTGATTGTAAGAAGTTCCAGTATCCAAAACCTGTAACCAAACCTGTTGCTCTTGAGTCAATTCTGACTCAGTGATTCTATAGGACAGAGTAGAACTGCCCGCATAGGGTTTCCAAGGCTGTAATTTTTATGGAAGCAGACCGCCACATCTTTCTCCTGCAGTGCCGCTGTTGGGTTCAAACTGCCAACCTTTCGGTTAGCAGCCGAGTGCTTGCTTAATCACCGTGCCACCAGGGCTCCTTTGTTCCAATATCGGAGATAGTAAAATAAGGAAAAAGTGTGTCTGAGAATGAAGGAAAGATGGTAAATATTCAGTGAAATAGAGTGACAGGTTTCTGAACCAATCAGATGAGGAAAGATGGAGAAAAGATAGGTTCTTAGCATTAGCCAACAAAAGAATCATGTCTGTATGGTTACATATAAGGATGGGAAGCAGATACAAGTTTGGGGAGAGGAAAGAAAATATGAAATAGGTTAAGATGGGAGTTTTTTAAAAAACAAACTCATCTTTTCCCCTAAATGATTTCTTGACATCTAATTAACTCGGGGCTGCTAGGTATGAAATTCAGGAGATATGGACTACAGGTACAGATTTAGATACCATCAACATCTATAGAAGATAATTTAAGTCACGGAAGTGTATGAGAGTGTTAAATGCTTCTCAACGATTGATCAGATGGACAAAAAAAAAAAAAAATTAATGATATAGATTATTTGTACTCCAATTTGAATCCTAATGCTGTGTGCTGTCGAGTCAATTCCAACTCATAGCGACCCCACAGGACAGGGTAGAACTGCAGGGTTTCCAAGGTTGTAATCTTTATGGGATCAGACTGCCACATCTTTCTCCCTTGGAGTGGCTGGTGGGTTCAAACCACTGACCTTTCAGTCAGCAGTTGAAGAGTGCTTAACCATGGTGTCACCAGGACTCCTTGAATCCTAATAAAACCAGAAAACCAAATCTGTTGCCACTGAGTCGATTCCAACTCATAATGACCCTATGGAACACAGTAGAACTGCCCCATAGGGTTTCCAAGGAGTGGCTGGTGGATTCGAACTGCCGACCTTTTTGGTTAGCAGCCTGAGCTCTTAACCACTGTACCACCAGGGCTCCTTGACTCCTAATAGTGATTAAAAATAATATTCAGAAATAATCTAATAAAAAATGTGAAAGATCTTTATGCAGAAAGTTATAAAACTTGAAAAATACTAAAGAAGACCTAAATAAATGAAGAGCTATACCATGTGTTCATTATGAAGTAATTATTTTATAATAGGAAGATTCAGTTCTTCCCAAAATGATCTATAGAATTAGTGCAGTTATAACAGAAATCTCAAAGGAGTTTTTCATGGAAATTGACAAGCTGATTTGAGGCCTGTGCTGAGTACATGTCTGGGCAGAGAAGGCTTTCTGGAATAAGTTTTGTGCTGAGTCTCAGAGGGTGGTTCAGTCAAAAGAGGCAAGGGAAAACTCCTTCGGACCTGCTACAACCTCCAGTCCCCCCAGCACTAAAATACACACCCAACTATGATGACTCTTAACCATGTCCAAAAAGTCGTTGATATTCCTCCTTCAAAAGGTGGAGCAACCGCATGAGGGACCCTGAGCCAGAACCACCCATCTATGCTGTTGACAGATTCCTGAACCTCAGAAATTGTATAATAAATATTTGCTGCTTTTAAACTGCTAAGTTTTGGGTAATTTGTTACACAGCAACAGATAATTAATGTATCAGCTATCCGCGATGACCAAACTTACCCTTTGAGACCTCCCAAACTAGATACTTGTTCCCACTCCCCCAGACTGCTGTAGCTCACATCTCCTCCATTTCTTTCCAGATTTCCCAGGGCTCACACTTTTTTCTCTATCTCTTAGGAGGGACTCCTACCTGACCCTCTTTTCTCAGAGTCCTGATGGCCCACACTTAGGTCTGTTCTCAGATGGTTTTTTTCGCCTATCTGCCCCACTTCTCCTAGACTCTTTCTTATCGTTCTTTAGATGAAGGTTTACAGAACAAACTAGCTTCTCATTAAACAATTAGTACACATATTGTCTTGTGACATTGGTTACCAACCCCGCAACATGTCAACACTCTCCCTCCTCGACCTTGAGTTCCCTATTACCAGCTTTCCTGTCCCCTCCTGCCTTCTAGTCCTTGTCCCTGGGCTGGTGTGTCCCTTTAGTCTTTCGTTTCATGGGCCTGTCTAATCTTTGGCTGAAGAGTGAACCTCACGAGTGACTTCATTACTGAGCTAAAAGTGTGTCCTGGAGCCACACTCTCAGGGTTTCTCCAGTCTGTCAGGCCAGTAAGTCTGGTCTTTTTTTGTGTGTTAGAATTTTGTTCTGCATTTTTCTCCAGCTTTGTCTGGGATCCTCTGGTGATCCCTGTCAGAGCAGTGGGTAGTGGTAGCCGGGCACCATCTAGTTGTGCTGGACTCCGTCTGGTGGAGGCCGTGGTAGCTGTGGTCCGTTAGTCCTTTGCACTAGTCTTTCCCTTGTGTCTGGTCCTCCTAGACTCTTTAGGCCACAACTGTCCACTCTCTGCCCAACCCTGCCTCACTGCCTCCTAGAAACACCTCTCGTGCCCTTGACCTGAAACACCACTTCCCATGCCAGCGCCCCACAGACTTAGTTGGAGATCTGTCCTTTCATCGAGAACGGTGCCGGAAACACAGTAACCGCTCTGTAAACGCTTGTTCAAGACGGTCCTCAGACTCCTCCCGGCGTCCGCTCGGCGCCGCGGGGACTCCAGCCGCCCGCCCGCGCTCTGCGGAACTCTATGTCCCACACGCGTTTCCGGAGGAGGAAGTTCGGTGGCGGCCCCCAAGTTCTACGTCGGTTCCGGCTGCGGCGCATGGCGGTGAGCGGGGTGCCCGGAACGCGCGGGTGTTTAGGCCTCTGGCTGTCGGCGGCCCCCAGTGATTCCCGCGCTACCCCCCTTTCTCCAGTCCCCAGGACGCTCTGCTCCGGAGACTTCGGAGGGTCGGGGTACCGCCCGCGCGCCCGCCAGCCCCCGGCTCCCCGGCCCCGTTCCCAGCGCCCCAGGTCCTGCTGGAACATCCCGCCCAGTCAGTCTCTGCTCAGGGCGCCCCACGTGCAGTGACACCGCCTCCAGGGCGCACCACGTGGGCTCTGCAGGCGCTGCACCCTCTAAGAAGCAAAAGAAGAAAACCCGAAAAGGGGCCTCTGTGGCGAATGGAGGCGGGCAGGCCTCCAAAAAGCCTGCCCCAGAGGAACCTCCTGCAAGCGCTGAGGCCCAGGCGAGAGCGGGCTTGAATCGGGAGGGTGGGGTCCCCGGGTGCCTTCAGCGTGCGAGGCCGCGGGGCAGGCGTGGTGTGGGATCTGCGGAGTTACACGGCGGTGAGGGGTGTGGCATGGAATGGGCTTTGGGGTCCCTACAGAATGGAGTCGGAGAAGGGTCTGGGTCCGCGGGGTCCCTGTGCCCTCTCACAGCTCCTCCTTGCAATCCATCTCAGGCGGAGCAGCTGGCCCGGGAGCTGGCCTGGTGCATAGAGCAGCTGGAGCTCGGCCTCAGGACCCAGAGACCCAGCCCAAAACAGAGTGAGAGATCCTTTTGTAGAGCTGGGGGATGTGTGTGTGGGGGTGACAGTTCTGTGGTCTTCAGGTGCTGCCTGGGGGTGTAATTGGAGGTGAAGATAGAGGAGGTCACTGGTCGTCTATCTTTATCCACAGAAGTGCAAGCTACTGCGGCCATCCGGACCCTGCGCAGCGAAAGAACTCCTCTGCCCCGGAAGAGGCAGCTGATGCATTCCTTGTTTGGGGACTACCGGGCTCAGATGGAAGCAGAGCGGCGCGAGGCCCTGCGGGCCCTCAGGGCTGGTGAGGGACTGGGAATTGGTTGATTCAGGATGGTCTGGTTATAAAGAGGTAGGGGGGCATCCCTTGGAGTTAAAGGAAGAAACCCAGAGTAACGGCTGATCAGGGGAAGGAGACTGCTCAGGGAATTCTAGGGGAGCAGGAAGAGAGAAAGCCTCAACCTGTCAGAACTAGGGCCTGGTCCAGGGAGGACAGAGACGGAATATCTTGGAGGGAAAGGATGCTAGTCCCGCTCCAAACAAATAAAAACCGAATCCATTGCCATCGAGTGGATTCTGACTTACGGTGACCCAGGATTGGGAAAGCTACCTTACCTGGCTGTGCCTTGAGTTTCTGTGCTGGCCTTGAAGCCAGGCGGCATAGCTGTTAGTGTGCAGCTCCTGGAGCTAGGTGACCTGGGTTCAATTCCTGGAACTTCTGTTTAGTAGCTTTAACGTCTTTGGCAAGTTAATCTTTCTGTGCCTCAGTTCCATGATTCTAAAACGGGGAGTGATGATACTTGCCTCATTATTTGGAGAAATAATCAGTTAATACTAAGGACGTGGAATCGTATGGGTACACAGGAAGTACACAATTAATGTGCACTGTCATTCAGTTCTGATACTCTTTCCCCTACCTCCACAGCAGCCCACTCAGCACAAGTGCAGCCTGTAGGTGAGGCCACCAGAAAGAAGAGCCGAAGGGTCTGTAGGCCTCGCCCAGTGGGTGGAGCCAAGGCCACCCTGGACACCCCTGATGAAGAGTTTAGGTTCAATTTCTTTTAGCCTCCACCCTACCTTGGGACAGTCTCCCTCCCGGAGTGGTGTCGGGTTTGTCTTGAGTGCAAAGCCTTTCCAGGAATGCTTTGTTAGACGGATGTGGGTTGGTCTGTCCCTGGCTGGTCAGTGAATGTGGTGACACAACTTTGGGCAGATGTGAGACGAGCATGTTGGGGAACTGACTGTCAGGCAAGGCCAGATCCCACTAGTATGTTTTCTGATGAAATGTCCCTCCCACCAGAAGATAGGGTCACATTTAGAAAAACTACAGTAAACCAAAGTGTTCAACTAGTTGTAGAAAGGAAGTTTTATTTAATGTTTAGAATTAGATTAAGTGGTTGTTGACAACAAGGATTAGTGAGGAAGCCACATAAGTGATCCTTGGTGTTTACTTTTGAAAGGATGCCTTGTCATACTGTTAACTGCTTTATGTCATGTCATATTGCCCTAAGAAATCTCTATTTTCAATTTAAAAAAAAAAAAAAGTGAAAGAGTGGACAGACAGGTCAGGGGTCTGGCACTGCAGGGTCCAGGCTCACACCAGTGCTTGGTACTGTTCTCTGTGTCACCTTGATTTCTGAGCAGGCATCATCCTCTGAGCTCCAGAAATCAAATGTGGTGGGAAAGCACTTTTTTGTGTTATGTAAATACATTAACAGCAACAGTGAAAAGTTACAAAATAAAAGGCACAATGTCACTCACCCAGTTGATTCTTGGATGAAATGTCATTCATTCAGTGATTCTTCCAGCTTCACACGAAAAGACAAAACCATTTGTCTGGCCCTACCAGGTGAAAACTGCAACCTCAGAGCCACTGAATGTTCAGAATCTCCGTGATTGCCACTTGGTTCAAAATATGGGAGTTTATTTTGATTACAGTGTAAACCATTGCTGTCGAGTCAGTTCCTACTCAACGACCCCATGTGTTACAGAATGGGACTGCTCCATGGGGTGTTCTTGGATGGAATCTTTGTATGAGTAGTTTGCCAGCCTTCTGTGGAGCCACTGGGTTGGTTCCAATCACTAGCCTTTAGGTTAGCAGCTGACTGCAAACTGCTTGTACCACCCAGGGATCTTGATAAGCGTGTGTAGGACGCCTGTTATTCCTTTTGCCTCAGGTTCAATATGGTTCATCGTAGTGCTGGGTGTGAGTTTACTTGCTGATCAGAAAATAATATAACACATTGTATTGGCCCTCTTTTTACAGACATCAAAATAGTGCTGTCACCAAGTTTGACAAGGCAGAAAGGTGACATTTAAGTCTATTTTGATTTTACCTCCACCCTTGAACCTCTCAGTTACTTGTCCATCATCTGTTACCTCCTTTCAGTGTCCACTTCCTTATAGAATGGTGCCATTTCAACAGGCTGCCATATCCTGAGGTGCAAAATTTAAGGGGGTGCCAAAAATCTTAGTAATTAATTCTTTATGCAGTGTTTTAAAACTTCAATGTTAAATAGTCCACGACGAACAAAACAGCAAACGTTGAATAATGACAGGCTGCTGTTTCACGACCCTGCGTTATGGTGTGACGGGCGCAGCCCTTTCCATCAGACCTCGGTCCTCTCCATCAATCCTTGGCTCTTTCTGTGGGTGTTCGGCCCCCTCTGTGTATTTGAGAGAGCAGCTTCTGTTTACATTTTTTCGCATGTCTTTGATGAAATTGCAGCTTCTCAATAAGGTGTACGCTGACCTGCGTGAACAGCAGCCAGTGCCCTTTTCTCCACTGGTTTTATTTTGTACGCACGGTGTAATTTTCCTGTTGTCTTCTCTGATGGAAAGGTCTGTTTCCTTGATGTCCCCTTGAGAATGTGTCTCTCCCACGGGAAGCCTTAGCACACAGTCTGGGATTGATGAGTCTAGTCCAGTTTGTGGAGTGTGTTCCCTGTGGAGACAGTGCTGCCCAGATGAGCTAATATCTGGGTGGTGGGTGTGACATCTCAGGCCCTCCATACCCAGGGCAGCAGCTCCTGTGTGCCAGGGGCTTTGCTCCTCCTGGAATTGAGGTTCCAGACCCTTGTGTTGTCTGCATCCTGCAGGAGGACCTAAGAACAGGTCCCTGGCAGCTCCCTGGAAAAGTAGCTCACACACCTCTTCCTCTCCCAGCCCAGTACTAGTCCCTAGGCCAGTGCAGAGGACTGGATGGGACACTTGGCCCCTGACTGGGCAGTTACTTCCCATCTGCAGTTCTACTACCATGGGAGGGAAAAACTGGCTTTTGGGGATGGCCAGGTGTTCTTTCTATGTAGCATCTACCTTGTCTTCTTTTGGATGCTTATCTTTTTCTTACAGTTTACAGGGTTTGAACTGCCAGCCTTTCATTTAGCAGCTGAGCACTTAACTGCGCCACCAGGGCTCCCTTGGTGTCTCTTAAGTATCTAAATCTTTAATAGTTCTGCTTTTTTTTCTGTGCCATTATTTGTCCTATGGAAAGTTCCGTATTCAAGGTTTGGCCGATTGTATCTACATTACCACTGACTTTAATGTCAACATTATTGTATACTGAATTCCTGTGTGAATGTGGGTCTGTTTCTCAGGTTTCTGTATATCTGTCAATTTATTCTTGAGTGACTCAATTCTTACCCATCTCCATCTATCACTGCGTATCATCCATCAGGCATCACTTGCTGTCACTCCTCTCTCTCTGTCACTCCCAGCCACTCCCCAGTCCACACTTGTCTCTCCCCATCTCAGTCTGCCACGGTCAGGACAACCTGACTCACCTTACCCTGCTCACCACTCACCACCATATTTGTCTCTTTCCACCTTTCATGTCCTCTCCCCACAGATCCCTACCATTCCAGCCTTCCCTACAGGCTCTGTCCTCCTCTCTACCTCAGTAACTTCCCAATACTTTGTCACTCTGGGAAATTGGGTTTTGCAAATATAATTTGAGATATGATAGCAGAGATGGTTACCGTTTGCCTTTTATACTTTGACTTGGCAGAATTTTAAAAGGTGTGCAATTAAAGACATCAACCCTTGTTTTCTAGCTTCTGAGTTAGTGTCATACTAAACTAAAAAATTTCCCATGTTCTCTTCGAAGACTTCTCTGGTTACACTGACATACCACCCCTTTCAAGAGAAGGCAGGGACCCCTGCAAGCCTACCTTGACTTCTGCAAGCCTACTGTGACTTCTCCCTTCCTGGGATGGCAAGTCTTAGTTCCCTAGGACTGCCATAACAAAATAGCACAAAGTGGGTGGCTTTAAAGAACAAAAGTTTATTTGCTTACAATTCTGGAGGCTAGAAGTCCAAATCATGGTCTCAGCCATGTCAGTTCCTTTTGGAGGCTTTTAGAGAGGAACTGTGCGATGCCTCTGTCCTAGTTTCTGGTAGCTGCTGGCAACTCCTGGCATTCCTTGGTTTGTAGGCGGATCCTCACATTCTGCCTTCCCCTTGTGTGCGACTGCTTCTGTCTGTCCTTATAAAATACCACTTAGAAGGGATTAAGATTAGGACATACCCTACTCCAGGATGTTTCATTAACTGATAACATCTGTAAAGGAAAATCCTATTTCCTTAAACGAAGTCACCTTCACTGGTTCAGGGGTTAGGACTTCAACATATCTTTATGGAAGACATAATTTAATCCATAACTGTGGGAACCCAGGAAGCCACACCCCATTGCCACATCCCTTCTGTGACAATGGGGACCAGAGTCCATTCCATGATCCCATATTGCATTTAGTTGCCACGTCTCCTTTGTTGTTAGGTGCTCTCAAGTCGGTTCCGACTCATAGCAATCCTATGTACAACAGAACGAAACACTGCCTGGTCCTGCACCACTCTGACAGTCGTTACGCTTGAGCCCATTGTTGCAGCCACTGTGTCAGTCCGTCTCATTGAGGATCTTCCTCTTTTTCGCTGACCCTCTACCTTACCAAGCATGATGTCCTTCTCCAGGGACCAGTCCCTCCTGATAACATGGCCAAAGTATATGAGATGTAGTCTTGCCATCCTTGCTTCTAAGGAGCATCCTGGTTGTACTTCTTCCAAGACAAATTTGTTCACTCTTTTGGTAGTTCACGGTATATTCAATATTCTTCGCCAACACAAGTCAAAGGCATCAGTTCTTCTTTGGTCTTCCTTATTCATCGTCTAGCTTTCACATGCATATGAGGCAATTGAAACCTCCATGGCTTGGGTCAGGCGTACCTTAGCCTTCAAAGTGACATCTTCGCTTTTTAACACTTTAAAGAGGTCTTTTGCAGCAGATTTGCCCAGTGCAATGCGTCATTTGATTTCTTGACTTCTGCTTCCATGGGTGTTGATTGTGGATCCAAGTAAAATGAAATCTTTGACAAGTTCAATTTTTTCTCTGTTTCTCATGATGTTGCTTATTGGTCCAGTTGTGAGGATTGTTGTTTTCTTTATGGTGAGGTGTAATCCACAGTGAAGGCTGTGGTCTTTGATCATCATCAGTTTAAGTGCTTCAAGTCCTTCTCACTTTCAGCGAGCAAGATTGTGTCATCTGCATAACGCAGGTTGTTAAAGAGCCTTCCTCCAATCCTGATGCCACATTCTTCTTCATATAGTCCAGTTTCTTGGATTATTTGCTCAGCATACAGATTGAGTAAGTATGGTGAAAGGATACAACCCTGACAGACACCTTTCTTGACTTTAAACCACTCAGTATCCCCTTGTTCTGTTCAAATGACTGTCTCTTGATCCACGTACAGGTTCCTCATGAGCGCAATTGAGTGTTCTGGAATTCCCATTCTTCACAATGTTGTCCATAATTTGTTATGATCACACAGTCAAATGCCTTTCGCGTGCCCCGTAGCTTTATAGTAAATTTCTGGTTCCTTTGCTTGGCACATCTGGTAACTTTACATTAAAATCCTGGTTCCCCTCTCCTTAACTGCTACCCCCAAACTAGAGGAAATTGGTGGAAACCAGTTTAGGCACCATGTTGACATTCAGGATAGCCTTGTAGCTCATTAATATCTCATGCATAGTAACCTCCCTGCCTCTGGGTGGAGTTTAACTGCCATTTTCTGAACATGCGAAGCATGAAATTATATGTAAACCACATTGTGCCTACGTAGTGTGATTAAGAATGTGGTTGTAACTTGTATGGACTTCCTACTTGTAAACCCCTAAAAGTAACCTTTCCCCTTGCCCTCGCTGAGCAGTCTTGATGTTATCAGCCCTGACTGCTCCTTTCGTAATGCGGCGAAATAAAGGTGCCTTTCTACTTTCCCACCTCAGTCTCTTGTTTATTGGCTGAGACTAGTCACACCAAGCAGGACCTGGAGTTTCCGCCCAGCAACAGAATGGTTGTGATTTTATTAAAATGTGAACATATGGATTTTTAGTAAAACAAAGCATCTGTTTGCTGGATAAATTTTTCTCAGTGCCTACTCTGTCCTTTATTGCCCGTTCTGAGGACTGAATTCCTTCCTGCAGAGATGGAGACCCTTCCCTGTCCTCGATTCCTAATCTTTCTCCTCCTCCATCCTCTGTACACCTCCAAAGGGAAGGTTCAAAGATACAATT